AGCACAAATTTTTTGAAAAATGGAAAATTGGATCTGCTGTAATGTATACAAAACTAGAAAAGGCAAGGCAAGTCAGGGCGTCAATGGCTTTACAGGTGCAATCTCTCGCTCCTGCTGCAGCAGGAGAGCAGGTATGGTTAAAGCTTCCCCCTCCCATCCCTCTTCTCTCTTTCGGTTTTACACACACACATGCACAGCTAATCAGACCATTCTCATTTATCTATATTTGCTAAGTTGAAAAAGCATAAAATAATTTCCGTGTGTATACACATTCTGAATCTGAAGGAGCCAATGCTAGCTTCCATACTAAATGACGAATATGGAGATACTCTTCCATCCAGACCACAGAGCATAAGCGTTGATGAAGCAGCTTATATCTCATCACATGGAACTATGGGGAAGTTGCAAAAGGTGGATGAGGATGACAATACTGAAGGTTTTCTGTTCTTGCATCTTATCTGTAGTCTGACTTATGTTATTGTTAAGGTTGATTATTTCGTGGGCATGCAATTTTCACTTCATAGATAATTGGGCTTACACAGGCTGTAGCCCTCAATCCAAGTTGAACCAAATTTTTTACAATCTTTGTTGGGTATACTTGTGGGAACACAAACGTTGATATTGTGGAACTGGTTGGTGGTGATTACTAGCAGTTGTCAAATGCATGATTATCAAACTGAGATTCAAATTGTGAATTGAAAGAACTAATTTTTGAATCATCTATCAAAATTTATAATGAATCATAAGATACATACATTACCAATAAAAATATGACATTTTTAAGTAAAAAAAGCAACATAGAAAACTTCAAAGCTAATATATCATCTACTAATCTTAATAATTCAAGATTCAAGTCAAAAACAAAATGACAAAAAAAGTGGCTGTCCGTACAAAGTTGACCAAAATAAAAGGCTGGCTACACTAAGTTTAGGTAGTGATTCATCAGATTGAATTAGGATTCATGATTCATCATAGTCAATTGAGATTCAAGATGGGATTCATGTCTAATATAGGTGCGGCTGTCTGCATCGAGAAGCTCCTATATGGAAGAAATTATTTGCATCCATGCATACTTGTAGTTAGAGAATAGGGAATATTGTCTGCTTAATCTCTCATAAGTCATGACTATCTGAAATGTTTCTTTGAGGGTGTTATATAGTTTTTCGTGGATGTCATGCTTAACCATAATTTTTACTTGTTTGGTTTTTAATTAATAATCTGTGTTATGTTAATTTTGAGAACCTGTTTGCTATGTCACATGGGTTATAGGCCTAATGGTTTCATGAGTGTTTTCTGTGCCTGGGTTTTAGTGTTCAGTTCTGAGCTTCATTTTCTTGATGCTTATTTCTTCCATTCTGCCTCATGTCCGGATTTTGTACATATATATTAAAGCAATTGGGTTATGCTGTCTTTAGTTATTGCCACTTAATGCTTTGTTTGGACTGGGTAGGTGATAGAGACCAGTATTGATAGTGAGTGAATCAAAGAAAAGAAAACAGAAGTGATAGAACAATTCTCTGCAGAATGTCTAAAAAGCAGTTTATATTATTAATAGAGTTGACACACTAGTACATAAGAGAGAGTTTAGAGAGACCATGGTAGAATAAATATAAAGAAATTCCTATCCAAGAAATTCGAGAGCTAGGTGTCTCCCTCCCAGAATCATTCAATAACTATCCCATAATCAGTTTCTCTTATCCTTTCCCTATTTATTCTAAAATTTAATAATATAACTGCCTTTAGAAGAAGTCTAACAGAAGGAGAAAAGAGAGGAAAAACAATTTTATTTCTTTAAAACTCTTGATTGGTTGAAGAGAAAATGAATAGAGTAGATAAGGAAAACTCCGGAACCAAAAAAATTTAAAATCTTTCTCTGCATTTCAAAATTCTCTACTTCCCGACTTTCTTTACTTTAACCTAAAGAACTGGTTAGACTCTAATTAATTTTATTTTCTAATTTCCTAGAGAAACAAAAGTGATTCTTTTTGAAGTTTAGTTTTGTGTGAAATGTAATTATTTGGAATATTGGCAGGTAACTTTGGCACTGTGATAATCCATGGGAATGAATTATCTAAGATCAGACAGGATGTCGATTCTGCTAGTTATAAATCTGCTTTCGCCAGCAACACAGGAGGCACATTTTCTGACCTTAGGTACTTGCTTGTTTAACTCAACAATGATTTTCCTCTTGTTAGATATTTACATGTCAGTCGTTTGTCAATTTTTAATTTACCTCACCTCATAACCATTCACAAGTTTTGATAGAGCCCCTTATATTTAATGAATATAAAAAGAGAGATGAGCACAAAATGGCTCTGTTTGGCAAGACTTTTTTTGAGCTTATAGTTTATAGCTTATAGTTTATAAGCTCACGTGACAATAAAAGACCTGTTTGATAGCAGCCTTTTCATCATGAGCTTATAACTTATTAGCTTATTTTTCAGACGCTATTTTTTCTTCCACTTTTTCCCTTATTATTTTAACTAAAACCCCACAACTACCTTTTATAATTTAATTTAATTTAAAATAAAATAATTATATATTAACTGTCTTATGTCATTTTAATTTATCAACTAATTGAACGGCTAATTTTACCAAACACTTCAATTAGCTTATAAGCTATAAGTTATCAGCCATCAGCTAAAAGTTATAAGCTATCAGTCATCAGCCATCAATCATAAGCTATAAGCTATCAGCTAACTTATCACTATCAGCCAACAACTATTTTTACCAAACACATCTATTGTCATGCAGAAATGTTCTGCCTATATTTTTCAAAAAATTATTTCCGCCATTGGCTTACCCATAATTTAACCAGTCTTAGCTTTGCAAACTTGTAAAACATGCATCATTATATGCTTACTAGAACTTTCCCTCTTTTTTCTTTCTAGTTTCTCCCGCGTCCTAATGAGTTTCCTTTCTCTTGTGGATACATTTTAGGGTTGAGAGTCTAAAAGTTGGCGACATAAACGCTGCCTCTTTTAGGGGATCTGGTCCTACTACAGATACCTTACAATCGTCTTTACCATCTGTTAGTAATTCAAATGAGCAGAACCTCAAAATAAAAGGCACTCATCGAGCACAAGCTGGAATTGGTAGTGATATTAGGAATAATACACTTCAGAATGAAACAGTCAGCCGCAAATTTGCTTTACAAGATAAGGTATTTATGTAATTTGATTTGTATATTTTCTGTCAAGCATAATATTCACGTGTGTAATCACTCCATCTGAGCAAAGAATGTGTTTCTTGGTTATTTAAGTTGGTTACTCCTTTGAGATTCTTTAGTATATAAGGAAGGACAAGGAAAGTTGTTTTCTTGAATTAATAACCTTGTCTATTGTGAGACTGCAGTTTAAGATTTCTCACCTGTTTACATTTTTCTTTATTCTTTCAGCTTTGGTCCATTTACGCCGCTGGTAATACAGTGCCCATACCGTTCTTAAGGGCGACAGATATATCACCTATTGCTCTCCTTTCAGACAACGTGCTTGGCGGCATGCAACAGGATACAGGTGGAACTAAAACAGTAGAAGCATTGCAAGAACTTTTTAGTGGCGACGGGCAGTCCAAAAAGGGTCGTAGAGGAATAAATGAGGTGACTGTGTAATTGTGCGCTCAATACCATACACCTTTGTTGTGCACTTCTTATGATTACTTACAGTGATTTGCTAACTGACATGCAGCATATGCCACTTCCTCCAAGCATTTGCCAAAGGTTGACGTCAAGTTCTACTCTAATGAATCTGGCACAGGCTTTAGCTTATCATAAGATGTATGTCCCATCAGCTTTTGCAGCAATTTTTTTTTCCTTCCAGCTCTGAAAATCTAGTAGGTTAATTTGTGCAAATGCTTGTAGCGGACAACTGTATAGGTTTTTCACCTTCCTACCTGTCTCAAAAAAAGCACATGGTTATTCTTCACATATTTGATTTACTTGTTATTTATTAGGTGTTACGAAGATATGCCACTACAGGAATTGCAAGCAACGCAGGAGCAGCGAACTATTCAAAATCTCTCTGATACACTTAGAACCATTCTTCGGTTATAGAATATACATTCCCAATTCTTACTGGCTACATTGATGACAAAACCATTTTCCTTTGGCGTGCCATCATAATATGATGATTGTGACTAGTAGTTAGTTTTGCATTTTTGCTGGTTTGATTACTATGTTCTGGTCTATACGTCATGTAATATACAGGTTTAGTCAGGAGTCATATTTATATGTAAATATTATGTATCTAGTCTTTTTTATCAAATGTTGTAGTTTGTAGTGGATTGTTTGGAATTAATGCTAGAAATTTGTCTACCCATGTTTATACCACAAGATGAAGGAAGTGCTCATGAGTTGCTAGTCTGTAATGTATAGATTCATATTTCAATTTTTTAAAAAGAGAACAGGTTTGAAGAAAAGTGCATTATTAGAAAATAAAGAAATAAATGTAAGCAATTAAAGTAGAGTTGGACAAGATGACATGAAAATGTATCGCATTCATCGTATGTATAAGATTGTTTATTTTGTATAACGTAAATTTTATTTTAAATAAGGATACGTTTAAGGGAAAAAAAATTAGAGTTTTCTAACAATCTTATATAATAGTATGTGGGAATTGATAATTCAAAATTTTGGAATTAGATTTTTTTAAATGATGTCAATAAATTGATAAAGATTGATACATATAAAAAGAGTGAGAGGACCAAACCAAAATTCACTCAAAAGGATTTGAAAATTAAAAAAAGGCAATCTTAACTTAGTCTTGCCTAATTGTCAAAGATAAGGAGTCAAATAAAGTCAATGTATTAGATGTGCGGTCTATATTAGTAAAAAAGTCTGTACAGCTATTGCCTTCTCTAAATATGTGTAAAATAAAGACATGTCAGAAATTAAGAGTAATGTCATCTGTTTCTAAGATGTCATGAGACAATTATGTTTGACAGATGAGAAAGCTTTAACTACCAAGAGAATTGTAACTTAAAAAACTTTGATGATATTATATTCACCCATAGAATTTCTGAAAACCGCATTCGAATTGTTCACCGAAAGCTTGAGCTGCAACAGAATTAGCAAACAACAAGAGTTAAAATTGCAAGATTTATTTTCGAATCTGCAGGAGTTTCTCGCTTTCCGTATCGCGTTAATGAGGAAAATAACGACAATTCTCATTGTTACATTGCCTCGCGGAGATTTACTACCCGAACATACCGCCCATATTTCTACAACATAGTTGAAATGCATATCCTAATTCGTCAATTTTCCTAACCAGCCCCACAATCTTCTTACAAAAACACAGTAAAAAAAATACGGTGAGAGGATTCTGCATTAGCATAGCAGATTGAGCAAATGGAGGAACCTCTTGCCTGCAATTGCTCATCTGTAGGTACCTTATCGTGCATCAATCTCCTGACAAACAAAAAGTGCGAAGGAGGAATGCCAGTCGACCAAATATTCTTGGTCCATTGCACCGACAACAAACTGCGGGCTTTGAAGTTGTATGCTTCTTTCAGGGTCAGAATTCTATTACTAGAATTCCACCATAAAAGCTTCTCAGAGCACACCATAGAAGGAAGAACAATGGAAGATATTTTATTCTCAAGAAAAGGGAAAAGATCGTACCAGACAGTTGGGAATAACCATGAGTTATTAACAATAAAGTGTGAAAATTTGGCCTTGAGGTTGATACTCAACGCAACTGACTGTTAGAAGAAATCTCATTAATGAGAGGTCTCCCACACCATTCCTTTGTCTAAAAATGAATAGAAGCCCTGTCACCAATGAACCAAGCCGAATTATCTTTGATTGAGGCAATCTCTAACCTCAGACCCTGGCAGATAGAAGAAGGGACATGTTGCTTGACTCCCCCGTCCTATTTAAGCTATAATCCTCAACAGAGTTGTCCAAGCCTCTTCATAGTTTAAAATTTAACTACCTCTTTTTATCTTATAGGCCTCATTAAGATAAATCAGCGATCTGAGCCCTAAACCACCAAAATCTCTAGAAATACAAACTTTTTCTTCCATGCTACCGTAACCAACTTCCTATTGTTGACCTTCCCACTCCATATAAAATTTCTGGAGGTTTTCTCGAGACTCCTAAGCAGCTTAGTGGGTCAACAATACACATAAATAAAGTGATTAATGATACTCTAGAATTAGATAAGTTAATAAATATTTACTTTTAGGTTTAGTGTAACACCATTTTCCATAGATATGTTTAAACTTAGACTCCGTTTGGAAAAGATAGCTGATAAGTTAATTGATAGTTTATAGTTGATGATTGATAGTTGATAGTTTATAGTTAGTGAATCATGGTTTATAGTTTAATGAGTGATAATTGATAAGTTAATTAAACTCTATTTGGCATGACCTAGTTTTGAGTTTATATTTTATAGTTTATAAATTCATACGACGATAAAATATATGTTTGGTAATAGTCTTTTCATTACGAGTTAATAGCTTATTTTACTAGCTTATAACTTATTATTCAGGCGCTATTTAAAATAAACATTTTATCTTATAACTTGCTTGTCAGTTTTTCTGATTTTTTTTCAATAACAAGGTATTGAGAAAAAAAAACTCAGATAATCCAGTTTCAGAGAAAATTACGTAAATAACCATGTTTCAGAAAAGACCAACAAGGAGGTGTCAAATGAGACGACACATCCACCTAAAATAGCATGTAGGTTCCATCTCACATGACGTGTGCATTACCTTTAAGCCATGTGAGATGACGCATGCACTCTATTTTTGAAAGGAGACACCATCTCATATGGCTCCTACATGTACTTGCGTTTTCTATAAATAAACCTCCTTTCTCATCATTCTTCACACTTTGTCGCTTTCTCTTCTCCTTTTCTCTCTAATTTTTCATCATGACATCTCCCATGATTTTTACAAGAGATGAATATGTTTTTTTCTCGGCCACCAAACCGCAGATTAAAATGAAGTTTCGGCACATCCGTTCAATGGAATGTCTTAAGAGAGAGTTGATCCTATGGTTTGACAGAGACATCGAATATGGGAAACAAATTAGAAGAATCCAGAGAAGAAGAACGACCACGTCATTTGCAACTGGATAACCACACAATTGGTTCGAGAAAGTCAAAATAGACATAGATGTAATGATGATGATGTATGGACCAGATGAAATTGTTTTAACGGTTGTAATTTCTTAGATATTTTATCGTGTTATTGATGTTAATTTTATCTAGTGTATGTGTTGTTGGTTTAGTGTGTTTTTGTTGTGATGTCATTTTAATCATGGTTTGTGTATGAATTGTTGTAACAAATGTTCTTAATGAAAAAAAGTTCTATTTCAATCTTTAAAAAGTTCAGATATTGTGCATACACTTTTTATGTTATCGAGCTAGTAGCACGAGTGGGATAATTTTTTCAGTTGTGTCCAACCTGATGGTATAAACCACACTTTCTTTCTAGCTTGTCAAATGTGTCTATTTCAGTTGTGACACACTTGCTTTTGGGTCGATCCTTTTAATTCCTTCTCATTTGATCATTGTGCCAAACTATTTCCCCTTTGTACGCATGCCAATAATCCTCCTTTGCTACCACTAGAAAGCCATTGTTGTATACGTTAAGCAAGCTCCCGGCCTTGTAAGCGAGAGATAGAAGTAGTAATGTATCTTGATGAGCATACGTACATCCCGTAATGACATAGGAGCAAGAAATATGATAAGCTTTAAAATTTCCTCAATAGCACCGACGAGATGGTAGTAGAACCCTATACTGTTGTCTTGGAAGCCTCTCGTTGTGGTCGACCGTCTCTTTTACAATGAACTTGTTGTTAAGTCGGTCGAATATTGTAACCTGATGAGTGTTGGATTTTGCACTCTCTATCTTAATAAATTTCATGCAGCTTTCACTCCACAATTGTCCCGATTGTAGCACCACGTTCCACTTTTCACCTCTTTTACGAACAACGAAGCCATCCTAAAATATGTGGATTTCACCAAAGAGGTTATGGGTAGGTCGTATGCCTTTGAAGACATCGTTCATTGATTTAACAAGATTTGTTATCATGTGGCCCCATCGTTGTCCATTGTCGTATGACCGCGTCTATTTCTCCACTGGAAGATTATAAATCCACCTACCCGCATCTGGATTTGAAAATCTGATCTCACTATGATAATGTTTGAATGATGGTTGAGTTAAAGCATACTTCAACTTCAGAAGATTTTTTTAAGTGCCCTGTCTTTAATTTGATATTTTAGTATGACAAAATTCAGATGTCCTATGACATGTTGGGACATCTAATCATACATAAACAAACATGAAAGCTATTAACAATAAAAACAATACTGAAAAGCATAAACAACACACATAATTGTTAACCCAGTTCAGAATAACCTTCCTACTCTGGGGGCATACCGAGTCAGAGACAAATCCACTCAAATAGTATCAATTCATGGACCCTACAACAAACCTCCAGTTTACAGCCTAATCACTTAATCACTACCCTTGCTAGATTTCTATCTAAGACATACCTAGATATGAGGCACTCCTTAATCCCTCTTCAATCACATACAACAATTGGATCAATAACAATTCTGAACAAACATGAAGACACACTTCCATAACAATCACTAGCCAAGACTCTTGACTAAGACCACAACTTGGAGTTTCTTCAAAGCTTCCTCCGAGAAAAATACTCAACTCATTACTTCACAACTCCTGAGTGAGAACAACAGTGACCATCTCACAACCCGAGTGGTTCACTTACACCAACTCTCCTAGAGAGCGGCAAAAAGACAAAGCCCTAGACTTCTACATCTTGAACGCGTGCCTTTCCTAGGTTACAAAAACTTCTATTTATAATCTATACCCAACTGGATTTAGGCTTTCAAACTACATCATACTAGCTGTAACAAACAACAATAACTTCTGCTACAAACAAGGTCTTCAATCAAATATTTCTAAATTATCTCCAAATTTAGAATCTGTATATTCTTCAATATTCTGATTGATTCTTCTTGACCTTTAAATCAACACCCTATAACGTTGCATAATATTTCTCAAAATATTCAGCATCAGTTAAATCATAACAGAATCTAACTGTCCACTTCAGCTCAGGCACGATGTTGAATGCTCCTTCATAGGAAATCTTATCCGACATGTTGTTCCAGATGTTGAAACTCTTCAAATCAACATGTCCTAACATAAGATAGGACTTCTTGCTCAACCTGTTCCTGTTAGCAAGTTAATACATCCTATCTAACATATTGGTGTATTATTTGTTTTACAAAAATTAATGCCAATCCTTAAAACTAGAGAACTTACAATATCACTCTTTGGAAAATTTTGGCTAAAATAAAATAAAAAAAAATTACAACCAAATTACAGCAATAAACAAAAACATCCACCAATAGTAGTCCTCAGAAACTACTGATCACAACAGCACAACAACATGGAGCCAGTCTTCAGTAAAGATGTTGGGGCATCTTTGTTTGACATCTACTTTCCAGGATTTTGAATGAACTCCATTGCAGTACCATTTCCATCACCAAAGAACAACATCCTCAGGATAAAAGGAAGGAAAGTCCTGAAGATATTTGATGCAACCAATCTAGACGAGGAAGATGAATAGTCTACACCCTCCCTCAACCCATGAACCTATTCTTGTCACATATGAATAAATCTTCCTTTCAACTGGTGGAAAAAGAGGACCATGAAGCAACCGCCAGTCAATCTATGGCATAAGAGGAAACTTAAGAAGTATCCAACCACTACCCTGGGTAACTCAGAACACATGTCACAACTATGTTCATAACTCAGATCACAAGTCACAAAATAGGACACAAACAAGATCAAACATCTTATCCGATATCTGTGTATAGAAACTGTAAGAAAATCCCGTGGTATCAACATTTGAGCTAACCCTTTCTCCCCCTTTTTAGCCGAAAATTGACAAAGGGGCCTTCACAAAACCAAATCCAAGCACAACTCACCCAAACCAGAACAAAAGCCATAGGAATTATGGACACAACAAATCCTTACAGGGTGAAAGAGGAAAGGAGAATCCTCTATAAATAACTGGTCAATTTACTTAGGAAATAACGATCCTTGAATGTAGCAATAATCTTAGTCAAAAGGAAACATTATTTGAGGAGAAACTTCCACCAAAATCAATGCGCACCGTCCAAAATCAGTGTTGAACGTCTTAACAACTCTGGACTATTTCTTCTGAGTAAAACAAGTCCCAATAAATGCATATACTCAGTCAAACACGCTTACTGACCCGTGTTTTATCAACTTGTCCATAAAAACACCTTTGTTGATCATACATGAAACATGTCCTGAATAATGTCCTGACATCCAGTCTGACATTGTCTTCTTCTACTTTGAACATTGATCAACACATATTTAACCATACTGTCTTCTACTAGATTATAAGTGTTATCCTTTCACTTAGACATACACCAAAACATCAGAATATCACATTTGTGACATCTCTTGATAAAAACTCTGTAGAGAAAAATAAATTCTCCCAGACTTAACCATTTGAGAGAAATGTGAACTTCTGATTTATTACCCAGCTTCACATGGCT